GGGACTAATAAAGGAATATCTTATAACAACCTCCTTTCCCCCCCAATTCCCCAATTTAGAGTGAAAGAGAGAGAATGTTTGAATATTTAATGGCTAAAACCCAGATACTCACCCTTCTTTGAGTCCCCAGAGGCCACCTCTGACAGGTATCTGAAGTAGTCTCCTTTCATTTTGAGGTAGAACACCTTGCTCTCCGCCGGAGTTGCGTTGGGGATGAGGAATTTGTCGAGCAGATTCTGAAACAGACAGACGACCAGAAGGGTTTATAAATAAATATAAAACAGGCCTGAAGATTCAGTGTCCGTACAGCACTGGCAGAGTAACACAAAGACAATACACAAGTCCAGATGGTTTTACCCATATGTCTCTGCACTGCAGCCTCAAACTAAAACCTGTGATGAATGCAAACACCGCCAAACACAACAACTGAAGCGGAACCGCCCAGTTCTTCACCTCAATTATTCTTGTATAATCGAGTGCACCCTCAAATTTAGTTGAGTGTGACGATGTGGAGGGTGCGGGGGACATAAAAGAGACACTGACTGCCCATAACCACGCAGCGCAACTAGGAAGGTTAGCGACATGTACGCCTGCAGTGCCGGTAGTCAGAACAAGTCATGAGCAGCTACTGACGGGAAGAACAGTCTCCGGAGAAAAGGCAGTACGCCTTAAGCTTTCGGTTTCGCTCCTGGAAAACGCCCTACCCCCCCCACGTATTTTCAACGACAGATTAAGGGGGACTGGGCCCGGCCCTTTCTGTAACTCTGAGACCAAAACCCCCCAAAAAAGGAGCCGGGGTCTCATCATGAATGTGTTCCAGGAGAGACTGACTGAAAATGTATTTAGACAATGTCGCCACCCCTCCCCCCCTCTCTGTGACGGCCATCTTACCACTCCTCCTTCCAGTGTGGCCGTTACTACAAACACTGTGGATTCAAATGTGGTCGAAGCACTTGTAGTAACTCCCTGCTGTGTCACTGTGTGGGTACCTGTGTCTCCGACGAGGGGCCCACCCCAGGTGGTGTTGTGGGTTGGTGGGAAAAGGCCAGGTAACAATAGACCGTAGCCTGGCCCCTTGTCAGAAGGGTTATTGGTTACTGTTCATCAGCCCTAAATATATGTAGAGAAGCTCAGGATGTAACACTGTTCCTGCAGCACCAGAGGTCTCAAAGTAACAGTATGAAAGCATCTTTAATCTGATAAACGGTAGATGTAAAACAAAAAACCCAAAGCCAGTGATCAACTCAATGCCCAAAATCAGTTCAGCTGTTCTTTGAACTGCTTTGAACATTTCGTTTACTGGCTGGAGGATTGAGCCAGATGGAAGTGAGAATTTGAGACCGGCTTTGTTTCAGTGATTACATGGCCTTTCTACCACGGAGAGGACTGGTTTAATCTGCTGACTCCAGTAACCTGGCCTGGGAATATCATGGAGACACTAAACCAGGCTGAAATCACCAGATTAAGATTAACATCGGAGTCATCAGTTGTAAATGAAGTCTTACAGTACAGCGGCGGACAAGCAAGAAGCTGCTTGTGTGAAATCAAACTGCTTGTTCACCTTTTCACCAGATAATTGTAGATTATTAAACAAACGGGTAATTTCAGTGAGTTAAAGCAATGCCTACATACGACCCAAAGATGGACTTCTGAAGGAGATGAAGAGTGATTTTCTCTCCTAAGATTGTTTCGTTTAGTTCCTACGAGGCGACTGTTCAGTAGGTCACAAAAAGGAAAATATTGTGGAAATCTAATCAGCCTAAATCCCAGAAATAATTTGCATAATTACACATAATCAACACTTGCCTTGGGTTATATTATGATCTATAAATTGAGGCAGTAAACATTTATAAACTGTCACACTGCGGTGGCTCGGAGAGGTTAGCGTTAATGTGATGAAGTACCTTGATTTGACAAAAACAGACCCCAGCCTGGTTATTTTAACAGTTCCTAAACTGATTTTCCTACTTGAAGACATTGATCCATTTTGCCAAACTGATTCAGACATTTTTTTTAACCCATCTTCCACTCCTTCAACTGTTCCAGTGCCCACTCAGCATGACAGAACGAGGCAGTCGGAGGTCTGCTCTGTCTGTGGGCGTGTTAGCCGCTGCACTGTGCTCAACCAGAAGACGACGAGCAGAAGCAGCGCTCTGGTTTCTCGTTGCCGTCCGGCAGTCGGCACCAGGCTGCGGGGCCCTTTTCTCGCAGTGCTGCACCCATTCTGGTTTTTCCAGTTTGTAGCAGCCAGCCGACACAGCAGGTCAGCTGTTAACTGCGACATGTATTATTAAATAATACCTTCCCACGTTCATCGATGATCATTTTAACAGCAAATGTCATTCTGTAGTGTTTTTATTTTCAACTCTTATGAAACAGTGCTCCTCTTGCACAACCATGAAACAGCTATAAACAGTTCCTCCCCATTAAAAATGGAATAAATAAATGTATGTAAGGAAGGAAGATTAGTTTTTGCTATTAGTCTAACCAATTGGTAGTAACTTCTAGGTCAAAGTTACTGACATATTTCTGCCCCTCCCCTTTCCAGGCTTCCTGCTGCTTTAAGGACAGCATGTCTCCACCCGTCCTTCCCTCCCTTCATTCCTACAGCATCACATCACTGCAGAGGCTTCCAGTTTGACCTTGAAGATATTATTAGAAGTCTGCTCAGGCACGAAAAATCGGAGTCTGGTTTGACCTTGAGTTTCTGTTCTAACCTAGTCAGGACCTGGCATTGTCAGGGTTATACATACCGTTAATAAACTACAGGAAATGTATTTTCTACAACCCTTTGACAGACACTGAAATCCAAGTCTAGCTTACTTCTTTCAGGTTGTATTATGTAATTATTCAGCTTTACTGCATTTGTTGTTTAGCCGATATTCTTAACTAGAGTAACTGACCATAAACTGTTTAAAGATAATTGATAAATCACATTTTGGGTTCCTGAAACTCTATAAAACCTCGTTCCACTGCCTTCCTCCTCACTGTTTCCTTTTCTTCCAGGAGCAGCACATGCAAGACCATCAGCATTCGCACTGATTGGTTTATTACCGATTGAATTTCTGACTAGATCCACAAAAACATACCTGGGTTTGTAAGTATGTAAGCATTATGGGCAAGTGATTCAGGTCGCAGTGAACACGTGATGACGGAGGAGTGCTAACCAGTGTGGAGCTGAGCTAGGCAACATCCTGACAGATGACTAAAACAATACTGAAGAGTCACTTCCAATCCAGACAAAGGGTTTCTGGGCATTTAGACCAAAAATAGCACTGCGCCCCGGTGGGTTTCAGGATTAAGGGTACTGAAGGTAAACAGAAAAACGGACAAAGTGACCCTCTGACAGGCACTTCGGTTGGTGCACACTGATTTGAGACCAACAGCAGCGTGTTACCAGAATTGGCAGCTTCCACGTTGATTTCAATCAAACCGCCACAATCCCCCGGCAGCACAGACGCAGTGCGTAGACCCATCACACGCACACACCTTCGTGGCAGTGCGGCACTTGTAGTTCTACCGTTTACACCAGAACTGAAAAATAAAATCATTGTTGCTGTGGTAACAGGGAGGTGCTGTAAACTCCCGTCCCATGCTGTTATAAACCACTGAGAAGTGTTTGATCATCTGATAAGCCTTCAACCTCATGGCTGTATTACTCAAACTGGACTTCCTGGATAATATTTCATCCTCTCACCCCTTATCTGTAGTCACACGCTCACACTAACGCAGTACGGTGCTTTTTTTTTTTTTTTGTACAGCGCTATTTAAGCTCTGAACACCTGCTCAGGCCTCAGCTGGCAGAGGCCACTTCAAAAAATAAGTAGAGAAAACAGGTTAATTTAAAAACAACCTGTCTTTTCTTTTTTGAAAATCTAAATACAGGCAGTCCACCTCCTCCCCTCTGCGCACTGCAGCCTCTCCAGTCAACCCCTCTTGCCTCTGCACCAAGTAAATACATAAAAAATAAACTGATACCGAAGTGCAAAAACAGGAAAATTAAAGCTTTGTTTGACAACTAAACAGCTGCTAGCAACATTATTACTGTCTCCACGAGTCAACACCATGTGACTGTTATTCTCTCCTCAGCCGAGAGGGATCAGCTCTGATGTGCTTTCTTCCACCATCTTTCCCTCTTCCTCCTCTGCTCCTTCTTTGTACCTTCTGTCCCCACTCTTCCCAGTCCTACCACCGATCATCACCACCACCACCACCACCCATCTTGTCCTTTCTATTTCTCTCTCTCTCTCCCTCCATCTTCACACCCCCTCGCTCCCTGCCTGCCCTTTCCCATCCATCTCCGTACCAGCACGTCGTGGCAGATTTCTTGGAGTTCAGCCTCGATCTTCACACGGTAATCGCGTGCCATCTGCTGTTTCTTCTCGTTCCCCTCCGTCTTCTGCTCGATGCTGGAGATGACGCGCCAGGATGAACGGCGAGCCCCCACCTAATGGCAAAAACAACAACGTCAACCAAAAAAAAACGACATTAAAAAACGACATTAAAAAACAACATTTTATAGACATGACTGGATAAACTCAGCTTAAATAACATTGAGTAACCATGATTAAAACCAAAACGACTTGGTGGTAATTCTGAAATGATTTTACTGCGTACTTTGTGTTTTTGTGTTTGTGTTTTAAACAGATCAACAATATACAAGAACATTGTAATCTCATTCAATACTTAAGGGAAATGTTTCCTCATCATATAACCTGAGGACGCTGAAATTATGTGAAGCTAACAACTAAATCAATCTTTTATAATAGTTTGTTTTGTAAATGGCATTAATATTATGTTCAAACCCCAAAGGTGTAGAACCCTACTGAGTTTGTGCTGTTTTATTATCATTTGTTGTCTTACTTTGTTGTCGCTCAACTTGCAGTAAGCTAAAACAAGCTGGAGACATGATGGTGGCGATATAATGATGCAGTTATTGATGCATTTGAGCCTAACACATACTGGTAGCAAAGAGGAGGTTGGTGATTGGATAAAGGTCCAGAGAGGACTCACAAACAAAAGCTCTTATTGGCTGTTAATTATATTTAATAAAAAAACAATCTGCTCTACATTAGCAATAACATTTTGTGGGATGAATCATGGTGAACATATCGACTATAAAATAAATAAAAACAGAACTAAAAGTAGATTTAAATGTAATTTATATTTAAGATCGGACATCTTAGTTAAAATTACTTTTTCCTCCACTGCATACACTGTAATGATGAAACAAGTATCAAGGATCGGCCTCACTCCTCCTTTAAACAGAATTAAACAAGCTGAAGTGACTAATTTGCTTTTAATTGGCTTTAATTACGGGTCATTAGGACTACTTGCATCTGTTTACCATAAAAAGGTTGGAAACCGGAATTGCTGCTTGCAGCTATATTTCAAGATGTTGCTGAGCTAAATACAAAGCTTATCTTGCCCATCTGACAATGCATGAATGTCTGCTTCCTTATCATGTGAGACAAGTGTGGTTTATTCCCTATGGCCTAACTAAACATTCACAGAGTGACTTATGCTGTCCTCCTGGTTGGGTTACAGCTAGTATTGGAACAGGCAACAAAAGAAGTACTGAGTAGTACTCAATGCTGGCATGCTTTAAAAAAAAAACATCAAGCAAACCTCAGTGATAAATAGAGCAGCAATGCTGGAAAACCTCAGGCTGCTCTTACATAATCGTGCTTTTATAGTTAAGAATATAAAATGTTCATGAAAAACAAAAACAAAAAAATGCAAATTATAGCGGCACAGCAAGTGAGAGACCACACGTAATAAAACAAATAAATGCAAAGATATTTACTGTAAGTGCTATAAATAAACAGGGGCCAGCAGGTTGTTGTATTGATGCATTACAAATCTGTGCCTCCTATAAACAGCACATACTAAAAGGGTTCAGCTCTGCCTTCAAAATGGCATTTCAGCCAGCGATGAGTCAAAACAGTGCATACAATACAATGTCACAGCCTGCAGCTAAGGTGGAGTTGCCCCACACCACCACAGGAAGTGTTTCCACACAAAGACTTGGCTGTTATTTTAGGAAGAACAGACGCCCCAACTTCAGAGGGAGATGTTCCTAGCGGTCACAGGTGTTAAATGTTTGAAATGCACCATAGGCGTTTATTAAGGGTGTAAGTGGTGCAATGTGTCTATGCAAATCTAATTTATTTAAAATAACCTGTAACCTGCTGCTTATTTCTACTTTCAAACTGCAGAATAAACTTGATCACACTGGAAGTTAAGTGTGTTCATGCAACCACACCAGAATCCAGCTGTAGCCTCACATCTGGATCTGGCAAGTGGCAAAGGTCGCCACCCTTCCACCAGAGGGAAATTCAAATTCCCGCCACTCAACACCCTGTTGTGTTCAAGTGTCTTTGAAGCTTACCTGAAGATAATAAGATAAGATTATAAAGATAATAAACACCACAACAATGAAGTAGAATTTCTTTCTTTCTTTGTGGATTACAGTTTTTTTTCCTTCTATCAATTAAATCTGCGTTTTCAACCAGAGTTGTTGAAAGCGTTTGGCTATTTTTCAGGACATTTTAGTGGCAGATCTTTTATTTTATTTCGATGAACAACGTCTCCAGTCTGAACTGAGTCATTTGACGTTGCCATGGACACCAAATTCTGATCTAATACAACAGACCCTGCAGTGATTGGTAGAAAATCAAAATGAAACCAAGCCACAAAAACAGCAAGTTATGACACAGCTGAAGTAATTAGTTAATCCACAATAAACGGCTCGGCGTCTGGCTTTCTTTTGTCATTACAATTTTTTACCAAACGCTGCGAGCGGCAAAGCAGCGCAGGGTAAATATAAAAAAAAAAAACACTATATTGATCATTAACTCCAAGGAAATGTTATTTAATGTATTTAGGCTTTGTTGATACCGAGTCTAATTCATGAGACGCATGGCGTAGATGTTCTTTTTTTACAGCACTTTGACTGCTGGCGTGCTTTTTCTGCCCGTTTTTTAGGCCACACGCAGTTAATGGTCAATTTCTCCCAATGACATTAATCGTGACAACTATCAGCGACAGCTCAGAGATCAATTCCCAAACTTACCAGGAGATTCGATGTCTCTTAAGTTCCTCTAGAACCTCACGTTCTGTTTCTTTCTGTCGTGGTTTCCATTCAATACTGTTTTACAAGCTAACAGCCAACTGAACAACAGCATTATCCAACTCCAAACATTTATTCTCTCTCTTCGTGAGGACTCTTATTCTTCAGTTTAGTTTCATGAAATAAAACAACAATTTTATTTTCCGCGACCTGAACCCAAATAATGATCTGACTGTAGAGCTACATCTCGAGCGTCTACAGATTTGGGGAGAAACGGGGAAACAAAACACAGTTGAGCCATTGGATTAGATGCCGTACCACGTTCTTGTAGGCGACAGAGAGCAGGTTGCGCTCCTCGTTGCTGAGCTCCGAGCCCTGCTCCGTCACGGCCTTCATGGCAGCCGCCATGTCGTCATAGCGCTCGGCCTGCTCTGCCAGCTTGGCCTTCTGCACCAGGTCGTTCTTATCCATTTTGAGGCTGCAGGGGAAAGAAGAAGGGACAGAAAGACAAGAGTTAACGTCTCAGCGCTTCCAACATTGAGGCTTTCCATTTACCAGCTGGAACAGGAAGGCTGACAGGGAAAGTATAGAGACAGGCACCGCGAACAATAGAAAGACGAGAGTGAGAAATACGAGTGAGCCAGATCTGCAGTCCCGTAATATTCCATATGATTATACATCGCATGTGGAATGGGAACGCCTTGGGAACGCCTTGGGATCTGCCAGCAGGAGCTAGAAGGTGTTGCTGAAGAAAGGGACGTCTGGAGCCGCCTGCTCGACCTGCTACCACCGCGACCCGACAGTAATTGATGGATGGGTGAACGTACAAAAAAAGTACCCAACAAAATATTCCAGCAAAGACCTAACAGTGCTTTATACAATGTCAAAAACCTTTTTAATTCAAACTGCTCCCAGTTACTTCGTCCCCGGGGGGTTTCCACTCTCCAGATGAATCTGTAGGTCTAAGTAGGCCACCGCCTCGCCTCCATCTCCTTTACATCTACAAACTACACTATAAACTCTGCACTGTGGCTGTAACCAGCTTTAAACTTATTGAATTTAGTTCAATAACTCGCAAATGCCTTATTTTTATTTCTATGTGAAAACTGAAGAATAAACTAACATAATCAAACTAGAAGTTAAAGGTAAGATTCAAACACGGTCCTTTGTTTCCACGTATCTATTTTATCTGGGTTTTCAACCAAAGCTGTTTATGTATTTGGATTTTTCCAGTAGATTATGGTGGCAGATTAGATTAAACTACAGTTGTTTCAATGATGGTCTCCAGTCTGACCCGACTTAATTAATGCTACGATGAACACCAAATATCCAGCAGTAACTCCAGTTAGTCCACAGAGAAGAAATAGCTTGTGGTCTGACACACACACAGTTATTTGCCAAACTGCAGGAGCTCTGTTTGGTTTCATAGCGATGGTTTCTGACGACGTGCCACCACCAGGCCTCACGCTGCAGTGCTTGGTTTAAGTACAATGGTCATAAATATGTAGTTTTCATTGTAAATTAAATTCTATGTCTAAACTGTTAAAGAATAAACTGAACACATGATCACACTAGAACTGAAATGTGTTAATAGACCTACTCCAGAATCCAGCTTTACCCTCACGTCTGCACACCAGTAACTGAGATCTTCTCCCTTCTACCGGAGGGAGATTCAAACGTGTCTGTGGCCTATTGAGAATGAGTCAAGCGTCATGTAGACTCGCCGTTCCCGACCTGTCGTGCGACAACGTGACGTCACGGGAGCGTCGTAACTATTTATACTTGCGCTGGCGGTCGCGACACT